ATCATACCAAAAGTTCTGAAACGTTTAACTCCAATTACTTTCATCAAATCATCATCGCAAATAGCATATTGTTTGTTAGTTGGATCCTAAAAATACATATGTAAATTAGGAATATAATTTTATTTATAATCTTAGAATTACTGTAAGACTTACATAAAGGTTTCTCTCTTTAATGATTGCCCACATTTTTTTAACAACTTCGTGACGAGGTAAAGCTTCAGATCCCATGAGAGAAGCCAGTTCTGGGCTAAGTGCTACTGATTTTGTGTAACCACTATTACCTCCTCGTTTTGCCTAGAATAAATAAATTGTTAATTAGAAAAAATTTTAAACTTAAGATTTCTTAGTTTTTACCCCAGTTTTTTTTGCTCCTTTTTTAGCTCCTTTCCAGTCTTCATCGCTATCACTATCATCCTTCTTCTTACGTCCTCGTTTAGCCACAGGGGTTTTCTTTTTGGATGGGGTTCCTTTTTTAGGACTATAGTCACCGTCATTTTTATCTCCGTCATCCTACATGAAATTAAATTTGTAGGAATTATTTAAAATGATTAAAACTATTCATTGCCTATGATGAATTACTACTTACATCGTCAGAACCAGCACTTTCATCACTACTATCAGCCTTCTTACGCTTAGGAGCAGCCACCTTTTTAGCTGGTTTCACTTCTTCTTCTTCATCATCTTCATCTTCCTCATCATTTTCAACATCATCATCATCGTCATCATTCTCATCATCACTATCCCCTTTACCATTTTTCTTGGTGGCTTTAGCTTTTTTAATAGCTTCCATTACTAATGTGTCAATTTCTTTTTTCCTATACAAAATAACAATCATATAACTATTGGTAAAGAAGTTGAGTTAATAATCAAAAGGGAAATATATTACCGATCATCAAGATCTGTGTCCAATTTTTTTTCAAGTTCTTGTCTAATTTTCTTTGCAGAGGTTTTTGTCAAATCTGCTGATTTTAGGAGAGCTAAAAATAAAAATCATTTTAAAATTGAATCATTATAAATACTGTAAATAAGCACTAGAATGAATAACAGTCATAATTTAGAACCACTTCGTTCCGATACCTAATAAATAATAACAGTATAGGTATAAGATATGATTCAAATGTAAATAGTTATATTGAATAACTTTCCCATTCATAGATTGTATCTAATTTGTTTCATTTTCTAATATTGAAATGAATACAAAAATCATAATTATGAAATACGAAATATCTTTTTAGAAATAAATTTAAAAGAAATTCTACTCTAATACTGAACATATTCAACAAATCACAGTGTTTTTTTCTTCATAGTATGCTTTTCAACAAACTATAAAATTAATATGAATAAAACATAATTAATAATGGGTGACATTGGCAATTTTTTTTCGTTTACGAAATTTGGGGATAAAAATCATTTTAACAAGAATAACCGAAAGACAAAAACGGCGGCGGCGGCGGCAGCTTAGTCGTGGAAGTGAATATTATTACGATATTCATCCGTGGAATAGGAACGGTAGCGTCGCTGCCGACAGTTTAATTTTTGGGACGCTGCTTTTGTTTACACCACGACCAGATGGGACGCCATCTAGCGGACATTGGCGGTGCAAGACGGCAGACATCAATTTATTATAACAATAATTTATTCCCCCGCGCGGAAAATGACAAGACTTTATCGGCTGTAAAAATTGTATTTTCACGAAACTGCCGTTTAAACGGCTTAGCAGTCGGGCCGAAAGTCTAAAAATCTAAAACACCGGCGACGCCATTGGCACGCTGTCGAAACGCGAGCCGCCGGCGCACAGAGTTCGAGATTGACGTTATAAAATCGTCGCAAACGAACGAACAAAGCACGTAATCGACGGCCGGTAAAAAAAAGCATCCGAAGAAAAACAAAAACAGATTTATCGAGAGATCGACGATTTAAACGCACGGCGGCACCCCCACACGATCGCGCGTTTTCATCAAACTGAGACGAGAAAACGAAAAACTAAACAAACAATAATTGCGAAAAATCGTCTCAGGACATAACACACAATAATAGAATGGTGCACAATAATTACCGGCGATCTCTTTCTTCAGCGTTTCTTTGGACACGTCGGACATGATGATTGTATCGGCGTCGTCGTCGGCTATTGGTTTTCAGTTGCCCCGTGCGGGACTGTGTAAAAAATGTAAAAAGCTTTTTGGTAAAAAAAAATCGATTGCGTCGGACGTCTGACCGGCAGTTGTTCGTCAATTGATTGATTCAGTAATAACGACCGCGAAAATTTCGGCGAACGAAAAACCAAGTACCAACGAGCGGGATAATGTACGAAATGAACGACGGCGGCGGTGAGTAGCGTTCGTCTGTGTGTGTATGTGACGTGTGTGTGTGTGCGCGATGAGTTTGTGGTGGTCGGTGGATGAGGTGGTGGCGGGCGAACGACGACGCCGCCGCCACCGTGCGCGCGCTGTCTCGCTGGTTGTCGGGGTGCAGAACGGCAAAACGGTAATCGCGACGTTGCCATGTGCGACCGGCCGTCGGGATGCGGCGCTCCACCGCGGACGCCCACAGTCGGCACAGTCCGTCAATGCGGCAACCGTTTCGTTTTGGATTCTTAATTTTTATTCACACACCGATCGTTGGGGGGCTAAACCTGAATAATACCTTTAAGGGTATATATCGGCTTAACTCTCTGTCCGTTTCGGTGGGACAACAATTACAGACATATTTTTTTTTTGTTAATTTTCGACAAACAGTACCTATCATCGAATTTTGCCATATTAAAATAAATATATACGTACAAATTGTCTGCTCCTAGCTGTCTGCAATTATTTGTATGGTAAAAATGTGTATTACGCGTACAAACATTAGAGAAAAATTCGCGAGTCTAATAGTCCATGGTCTCCGGTATATATTTCAAGTATTTTTTGAAAATGGCGGGAACTTCAATGGTGTATTTTTATAAAGCCATAGTTTGTTTACATTTCTCATCAGGTAACTTTTTAAAAATAATTCTACGTGAATATTTACATAATGAATACTAAATATATAAAACACAGTAAAATATAACAATTGTTGATGGGGATCTCGTTAGGCCCCAACTCTAGATTTAACTACGATTTTGAATATTGGTCGTTTCGGCGGCAGCAATTTGCCGGTTACCACCAGTGTGACGTTACCCTGGTGTACGCTCGCCATAGTGGTCACACTGTACTATCTCGTTTTGCCGCCATATACCGGGCAAGGCGCGCAATCGCCGGCCGGCACACTCTAACGTCGCTAACGCAGTAACTCTACACCGGTGAAAAAGCGTAACGGTAACGGTCGTTTAAACATTAAACCCTCTCGTTGGTTATATTATTTTTTTTATGGTTCCCTATTAGTACATTCAAAAAAAATTTTTACCGTCGTGGTCTCGCTTACCCCTCTCGACTTCATCCATAATATCCAGCGCAACCGTCGAACGTTTTATGTTTTCGATGATCGGTTTACAATTTTACATTTTTATATACTTATCTGTTCCCACCGAATACATTTTAAGTATATGGTTTGCCGATCTAAACACCGAATAACCGATTACCGAACGCGATGAGATATTTCGCGAAACTTTTTTATGTAAATCCCGTCCGACCTAGAATATATTGCATTTGAATTAAATAAAAAATATTAAAAATATTGATATTCATTATAATTATAAGAAGTTATGAGTGGACACCGATCAATAAGAATAAATAGTTATCAACAATATCAACCTATTATAGGTAATCTACAAACTACAACCCATCTACGATCTACCGATATGGCTTTATTATCTTTATGGTTAATCGTATCGCTGTATATCCTATAAATCCCATTACCTATATAGTTGAGCCTTGATGACTGTGATAGATAATAATAAAATGTAGATAGTAATAACGCAGTGCGATTACAATTTCGAGACCGTGGTACCACGGATTATATATTTTATATAATCTGTGGTGGAACAAAGTCATAAAGATATTTTGAAAGACCCTTGGTCCGTGTCAATATCACAATCATTAGGACGTGGATTAATTTTTTCGTGAAAATAAAATACGATTGTCCCATTATTCTATATGAGATGTATTTAGAACAAAATATAAAGTAACAAACGTTGCATATTTTGATATTTTCCCGCATCATCATTTTCACAATTTGTAATAACACGTGAGTTGCAGCTATCATGTTTAATTTATTTATTTCTAAACAAAAAGTTTTGTTAACTATATAAATATATAGGTACGAGTAGTATGACTTATTATATAGTATAATATAATATTTATATATTATATATTAGACCGATTAATGATGATTACGCGCCTTGCACATTATGTGGAATTATTGCACGCATGACACACAAAATACAGGACATGGACCAATTGCGCTGCACATATTTTAGGGTCATTGTACCATTTGTACCAAAAGGGCCTCTTATATTTTACGGTTAGTGTACCTGTGCTCTTTATGTTTTACTTAATATATTTCAAATAGAGCACATTTAACAAAAAATTAACAATTAATTCTTATATCGAGAAATACAAATCTGGGGAAATTAGCAGAAAAGAATTTTTAAAGATCGTGTGTTATCATTACTGTAAAAATGTTTAAATATGAATTATAATATTATTATGTACCTACCTATTAATACTCCCAAAAAATCATCTATGCGTTTATATATATTTTTATTATTTTTATAATTACGATTTAATTTTAAATAATTGACGATCAAACTTGTGACCGGTTAGTGTACCTATTAATTTATTTTTTTTTTGAATCAGCGTGTTATTATACCTTGTGGTAACTAAATTAATTATTTTATTGTAATTGCCATGGTTATACTTATGATTATATTCTCTTTTCCTCGTGGACCGTGGTAAACAAATATATTATTCTGTAAACTAACCAAATTATATTATTTTAAATTATAATGCCATGCTCAAATTAATATTTAAAAAATTATTATTATTCTTAAGACATGCAAAATATAAACATCAGGATTACCTTAAACTCAAAATCTTTTTACTTTATGATTTAACCACCTATATTCTCTTATTATTATTAATATTATTTTATTTTAGTTTTCATTAATTAAACTGTATAATGGCTATAAGTTCCACCGACTTAGGCTTAGGGTTAACACGCGGCTTATAAGTTATAGGTCATGAGTAAGTGCTCCTTGATTCATGAGTGGTAACTAGTGCAAAGGTAGTAAAATACTAGAAATCTCACAATGTAGTATTATGCATTAATACTCGCAAAAAAATCGGTTAGTAACTAACTAATAAGTTTTTTTTAGGTAATGTAAAATGTATAGAGCGCAATTGGTCTATCGACCTTAAAATTTTTTAAGCGCAATTGGTATGTCGGCCCTTAAATTTTTAGAGCGCAATTGGTATATCGATCCTAAAATGTTTTGAGCGCAATTGGTAAATAAAAAGGTCATTTTAAGCGCAATCGGTAAACTCCAAAAATACATACTAATAATATACATTCATAATGAATGATTCATATTATAAAAAAATATATGCATAAATCGTGTTCCATAAATATATTATATAATAATATTAATATATAGCCATATAGGGAGCATAATACCAACCATGATAGTTTTTTACTGAACTCCGTATCAGTGTCGCCGAACACGTATTTCAGGTAGTTCGATTGTACTACCTTTAAAATTGAGTGGGTGGGTAAAATAATAGAGTATACTTCCTAATCTTACTACTATAATTTTATTAAATCCAGGAATGTCATTAAATTATATGTTTATATTATTAGTTGAGTCTGTTGCTCAGTCGTTTGAAGGAATGCCTAATGGGTGGGTCAATCTAACTATTTGAACTGCCAGTTTCAATTTCATTCGGCGCCACTGCTCCGTATTTAAGAACAATTTATTCATAATACTTACAGCAGTAGTCTACGGAATACCTAATAATATGTTCTATCGTTTAACATTAACATAGGAAAACGGGAAATCGTAGTGATTAACACCCTGTATTAATGGTTTTATTTTACTTACCTACTTATTATCTATACATTTATTGTCTTAACACTAAACGTAATATGAAAAAACGTTTGAGCATTATGAAGTATTTGATTATTATAGTAGGTACCTACTACAGTAATACATTGTGAATGAATACAAAATATTTAAATGTACAATGTTGTAGCATCTATTACCTATACCATTATAATATAATATATATTATATATCATTTCTTTATACTGATAACACTGCCGTAATGAAACTAATCAACAAATCAACTGCATCATAATACACGTCACGTGCGACGTGCGGTAGGTGTACTTCAAAAAAAATACTAAAAAACTAATTTAATACCCGCATAAAGAGCATAATTATTACCATATAACTGCAAGCTGTTATAGTTTTATACTAAGAGCTAAAAAAAAAAAAGAGCATAATAATATACAATATGTACTACACTACTACTGTCTGCTGTCACTGTACGAATAGCTCGTCATTCGTCAATGTGACATAATATACTCACATTGTAGGAATCGATATCGATCAACAGGTGTTAGAATTTTAGTGAAAAATAGAAATCGTTAATCCATTTCATACCATAACGGACCTATTAACTAAACTATTAATTCATAGATCCATGTTCAATATTATCGAAATGGCGAAATAAAAACATGTATTATTTTAGGTGTATTATAAATTATAATAATATTATAGATTTATTTATAACTTTCACAGTCTAAAACCAAAAAAAAAAAAATCATTCTATCTGATTAATTAATTAGTAATAACACTGAAATAAACAAGTATACGTAGTCATAGGTACTCATGCCTGTTTAATTAACGTACTGCAATATCTTTTGGAATTTAAACATATTTAGAAAAAAAATAAAAATAGGTTAGTTATTTACGATAAAAGTTATTATTTATTAAATACTTACCTCTTACAAGTAATTAAGAATATATTATATTCTGATAGGTAATTAGGTGATGAATGTGCGTAATGATGTGGTGTGATGATAAATTAACTGTTGTACCTACCTTTATGGCTTTAGGCCTTTACTTATAGGTAGTTGATATAATAAGTAAAATTATATTATAATAGCGGTATTAGTTTATGATCATAGATTAGGTACAATATAATGTATAAAACTATAAACTAAATTTTAGATTATATATATATCGAATTATATGTTATATTATAGTATATTATTTATAACATCATTACATCATTATGTGTTCATATACAGAGTGATTCATCGAGCATGATATATACTCATTTCACCATTTCACCATTTTGTCTTTAATAATGAATTATTCAAATTCTGATTTTAGAATTTTCAAGTTAGGTTAAGTTTGTATACTTAAGGATCATATTATTTTCAAATATT